TGCCCGTTGTTCCTACTACTTGAGCACATTCTGAATATTGGACATTAATCTGCCCGCTGATTAGCCCGTTCTATCATCCTGTGGACTGTTGACGAAGAGAGAACTGAGGGCTGATCTGCCCGCTGCCACTACTACTGCCCGCTAGAGCTATCCGCATACATGGGGGAAATCAAGCGGTGATCAGCCATTCCATCATCCCGTTCACATGGAGAGAACTGAGGGGCTGATCTGCCTGCTGCCACCACTACTTGAGCCCATTCTGAATATTGGGCATTAATATGCCCGCTAGAGCTACTGCCCGTTTCAGCTACCTACATACATGGAGAAAATTGAGGGCTGATTTGCTGAAGCTTCTGGTTCGGAACACTGGAACTTCGAGTTTTGATCTGGCCGTCAGGGTTGTGCAGATACACGACCGATCGTAGTTGATTAGTTTAATGTAACAACTCACACATATGAGAGAGTATGGGGAGAATTGCCCCACTGCCATCGGGATCAGTTAAAGTTTCCCGTTGGCATTGGAACCAGTTACCTTACCACATTCGCTGATCAGCCAATCGAGTTTCCCACAGCTGTCGGGACTGGTTATTTACTATATTCGCTGACCAGCCAACTGTTTTCCCCAGCGCTGACAGGGCCGGATTGGTGACTGGTGAATCTCTAATTATCAGATAATTGATCGATCGTACTGTTGGTGGGTTCGGCCACTTATGATGAATAGCTGATCAAGACTGCAATCAAGCAATCCCACTGACAATGTGACCGTCCAGTTTGCTGAGCGGGCAATCAAGTATCCCCGCTACCGGCGGAAACCACTCGTTTTCATTTCCTGSTGCTGTTCAGACAAAGGTAAGGGGTAAGAAATTGCACGCAAAATGAAAGAGCGRGGGAGAGTGACAGCGGACCTTAATGAGAGAGAGAGAGGGAGAGTGACAGCGCAGCCGAATGAGAGAGAGAGACGAAGAGTGACAGGGCAGCAGAGAGAGAGAGAGAGTCTGTGCTCACGAMGCTTGAGAGTGGGAGAGACTATTCGCACAAAGGATGAGAGGGAGAAAGTCTGTGCTCACA